GCTTGAACCACCTCCGATGGCAGGCTGTTCCAGACCTTGGGGGCTCAGACAGTAAAGAAATTCTTCCTTATGTCCAGCCTGAAACGGTCTTGCAGTAGTTTATGACCGTTCAACCTCGTCATCCCTTGGGGCGCTCTGGTGAACAAACGTTCCCAGATACTGGTAGTCACCTCTGATAAACTTATAGGTGGCCATCAGATCACCCCTGAGCCTGCGCTTTTCCAGGCTAAAGAGCCCCATGGCTCCGTTTTCCTGACCTCTGATCATGCGTGTGGCTCTTCTCTGGACTCTCTCAAGGTTCGCCACATCCTTTAGGAATTGTGGAGCACAAAACTGGACGCAGTACTCCAGCTGTGGCCTCACCAAAGCTGAGTACAAGGGGAGAATGACATCCTGGGATTTGCTTGAGAAGCATCTATGGATGCAAGCCAGCGTTTTGGTCGCTTTAGTAGCTGCAGCATCGCATTGCAGGCTCATGTTCGTCTTTAGTAGCCGCAGCATCACATTGCAGGCTCATGTTCATAGTCCTGAGGCTACTCCACCACCAGTTGCAGTCATCTGGTGGTGGAAGATCCTCAGGACCTTGATATACTTTTCAGGATATCCAGGTTTGGCTAGTACTTTCCACAAGGCTTCATGATTTATGGAATCAAAGGCCTTAGTAAAGTCAATGAAGGCCATATACAAGTCCTGAGGTTGTTCCCAACACTTTTCCTGGATCTGACAGGCAACAAAGATCATGTCAGTTGCCCCACAGGATGGTCTGAAACCACACAGATTCTGGCAGGACTTCCTCAGCAACAAGTAGAAGACTGTTCAGGGGGGTGCAGGCAAGGATTTACCCTGCCATGGAAAGGAGGGTGATACCTTGATAGTTCCTACACACACACTTTCTTGAAGAAAAGAGAGTCTATGTATCTCTTAGGCATCCCCTTTCTTAAAGATAGCTGCAATGTTGCACTGGCACCTCCTTGACTGTGTTGTTATTATTAGAGCCCATGATCAAATGGATGTCCATATCACATGAGCCATGTGAGGAACTGATGACTGCTGGACAGATTGCTGTCTTGTCAGATCCATTATGAATATGTGACTTTCTCCAAAACACCAAAAACAGCCAAAAACAATGTGAAGGACTCAACACCAAATCTCTTCAAGACCCAAAGGTCTGTAAGGTTCTCCCAATAGTGTCTCCATGAAAAGCTGTCTGCCCCATCCACAAACGAAGGCAATGTTGAAGAACTCCAGAATGGGTTTAAAACCACCATCCATATGGCCTGTGCTGAATCCACTGGCTATACCACCCATCAACACCAAGATTGGTTCAATGAGAGTGATGAGAAGATCTAAGCCCTACTTGACCAAAAGAGAAGGGCTCATTCTATTTGGCACCATCTCAGCAGAAGCAGATATATCAGCTCCTCAGTGCTGAAGCTGAAAGGAAGATATGAGAATCAAAAATGAGTGGTGGCAAGATAAAGCCAAGGAGATCCTGCTGTATGCTGACAAACATGACATACATGTAGCTTTTTCCAGGCAATGAAAGCCATCTGTGGTTCAACTGCCTATGATTCCACTTTTCTGCGATTGCAGGATGACTTACCACTCCTCAAAGACAATGAATCTATCCAAGCGAGATAGAAAGAGCACTCTTAGGCACTAGTGAACCAGGAGTTGACTGTAGCAGATGCCACTGTTGAATCCATTCCTCAACACCCTGAAAGGACATCCCTTGCCAATCTTTCTATCCTAAAAGAAGTGTGGCATGCCATCAAGGAAACCAAGAACAATGGTGGCATACCAGCTGAAATCTAGGATGCTGGTGGCAAGGAACTGCTACTAAGATTCCACTAATTTATTCCTCAAATTTGAAACAATTAAGATATTCCTGGGGGCCTGAGGAATGCTACCATCACTTGGCTAGCACAGCAGGACCCGTAGCTCAGTTGGGACCTCTAAGTGCCATTGCTATACAAATATATAATATTGACCTTTAAAATCTAATACAACCTGACAGGGAGAGGGTGGGAGGAGAAACAAAGGCAGAAAGAGGTCACAACAGGCTGGGGTCAGTCAGGAAAAGAACCGTTGGCCTTTGATTCCAAGGCTAGTGTCCTATCACCTGGGTCACACTGCCTCTGCTAGAGTTGGTGCCTCTATCTCCAATGTAACTGCACTGATTGCAGAGCCCATCAGCTTTGCTATAAAGCAGGATCGCTTTGTTTTTTCTATGGTTTCTGTAAGAAGTTAATTTTCCTCACCCCAGACATTTAGCATATTGATTGGTTGTTTTGTTGTGTTTTTTGAAAAGCAAACGCTCCATAATAAGCAGTGTCTAGCAGATGTTGTTCCTAAACTGAAGGTTTAGGGATCCTTGGAGTTCAAGTACTCTGGTCATTCTCTTCCTCTTCCTCAAAGAGGATAGGGTTTGCAGAGAAAGTAAGACCCAGTCCCTAACTCCTTCTCACATCCTCACTAGAGCTAAATTGTGGAGAGATGGAACGCTCAGTAAAAAAAAAAAAACATCTCTTATTCCAGACTCTTTTCTCAGCACCTGCTTAGGGTCTGGCTGCAGAGGTGTCATTGTATAATTCTGTTTGACTCAAGTCAGAAACATGGGAATCACTTGATCACTTGTTTGTTGTAGACTCCAAAGTAATTCCTTGAAGTCCATGGGCATGTCCACACATGTGATTAATATGCAAGAATAAACTCCAGAACATATTGATCCAGAAGTTATTCATGTACAGCATGCAGAGCCTAGTTGGAGCAGCCCAGAGTAGAAGGGAACCTGGGGGTCAGCCTGCCAGCCCAGGGCTTCTCTGACTGGGCTCCATGTGCTACAGAGGGGCTGGCTGAGGCAAAAGGGTGTTTCAGCACCGGAGCTGCCTGCCAGCTAGCCCCACACTGAAGCAGCCTGTGTCCCAGGCAGACAGGACAGTGTCTGCATGTGTGCTACTGCACACAAAAATACTCTGCAGCAGGGTAATACTTTTATTTATAAATACTACCTTGCTACAGAGTTTTAGTTCTGTGAGCCCTAATAGGGTCGCATGTGTAGACACCAAGACATTTACTGCAGAGCTAATTAGTCAACTGTGCAGTAAATATCTCATGTAGACATGCCATTACTTGTATTCTGCTGGAATAAACTGTGTCTTTTTATTTTTTCCTTTAATAGATGAAGAAAAGATAATAGAAGCAATTGTTGATTTGTTAAGAAAATCAGGAGATGAACTGGTGACAAAGGTAAACATTTCATTTTTAACATACCAATCCTGAGTCTATCAGTTAGAGTGGAGCATAAGATTTTCCATTTCTGAAACTATGAATCTCTGATAGCTCCCATAGTGAGTGGCAAGGGTGGCAGGGTTTCTGTCTCCTGTGAAGGCCTACCATGTCACACCCTGGAATCAGTGGGATAAGCATACACAGTATAATTATCTCCCTACATGCATGATCATGCATAGAGTTTTTTCCAACACAAGAAGTCCCACTGATTTCAAAGAAGATTATTCATACAACTGTCTTGAGTAAATTGGCAGGACTGTCCCCTAAACCTAGAAGTACAGGTTTGTAGAGAAATGTCAGGCATGTTTGCTTTTCTTGAACTGCATTCTATAGATAGTGTTGATGGCATATTTCCAGGAAACACTAATGTGAACTCTACATTTCCAAGCCCTATATTCTATCCCCCCCGCTACCCAGTGAAACCCCATTATGTTCATTGGTCTAGCTTGAACTGACTATTCTTTATTCTTGTTTTCAGTTGGAACAGGACAGGACTTTCCATCAGCGTGTCATGGATATGTTCTCCTATGCCTTCTTCAAAAAAGTCACTGATCAGTTCTTGGAGGATGTCCCAATGGATTCTATAAAAGAGGATGAAGACAAGATCCAATACACTAAAGTTGCTTTTGCATTGGAAGTCGCAACTAGACTTACAGCTGTGGACAACCATCCTATGAATCTGGTCCTGGGGTTTGGATCAAAGTACCTCAAAGAACATTTTAGCCCTTGGATTCAAAACCATGGTGGATGGGTATGAGTTGTTGTTCGGTTTTTTTTCTCCCCTCCCCCTAGGATTGCAAAATAACATATTTATAAGCTATTAATTTCCTATGCTGAAAACAGTTAGAAAATTCTGTGAGTTAACTATCAGTTAGAGGGCATGAGTAGACAGGTGTGAAATTACATTGCATAATGAGCACCTACTTGTGAGCCTGACAGTACATCAGGATCTGTGCATCTATAATCCTTCATCCTATGATGTGATCTTGAACCCTTACAATTCACCTCACAACATACTATGTCTCTTAGTTCCTCTTGATCTCAAGTTCCCCCACCACCTTCCATGCTGCCATTTATGGTAGGAACATGTTTCCACTTTGACAGTGCAAAGGAGCATTTGGCTTCCTTCACATCCTTCATCAGAAGCCATTTTTGCAAAGTTTTCCTAGGCTAATCCTCTTACCAAGATGTTTCCCTTGATGAGATATTGGTCCAAGTATCTCAGTTGCCTGAACCTGACTGCAAGTCCCTCACTGCTTGCCTTTCTGTGTTCTGTAGAGCAGGGGATTATTTGTCACTATAAGCTATGCATCTCCTTCAGTCGGGAGGACTTGTTGCTCAGCAGTAGAGGCATCCTTTGCGCTGAAGCACATTGGGAGCATCTGAAATGGCTGTAGGGGTTATAGGCACTTCATTTATCCTATGTCAGATTCTTTTCTTCTCTTACAGGAAAAGGCTTTGGAATTGCTGAATGAGGAAGAAGTAGAATAAATTTGATTCACTCTTCGGAGCTTTGGCAGCTAATCCAAGCTAAAAGTGAATTGAGAGAGAGAGAAACTTTGACCTTCCTCAAACCTGGGGATAGGATTGTTCTTCAAGCCACATGATGCAGAAATATCCTCTACTACGTATGAAAACAAGACTTGCTGCCTTTCTTGTGACGAACAGACACCTCACCATACAGGAAATGCAACATTTTAGCTTTCATTAATGTGAATTCTGGTGGGGTGTTTGGTTTTTTGGGGTGTGGGGGTTAGCAGAGTTGCTTCCCAATATTTCCATGGACACATCATTAAAATATGCAATCATGAACAGATTATAGAAATGGGACCAGCTTTGCTATAGAAGTTGTAATGTTAGATGCTGATAGTGCTTTTGTGCCATTATCACAGCACTCTGAATCACATTTAGCTCCTGTTTGTGAATGCATGGCTGTGGACTCTCCATTTGGAGTGAAAGGTCCCAGTGATTTCAGCTGAAGGGCTTTCATAGTGAGAAGACCTATTCTCTTCAGACCTTTAGCTCTGTTCTCAATGTTCACCCCCAGAAAGATCAACTTGTATGAGCATTTCTAACTTAGCTTCTCTGTTATAATACACTACCCCCCCATGCATACAATATACATTATTCTCATAAGCATTAATTTGGCTAACAGAAGACTCTCAGAAGGGTGAAGTTAAGGAAAGTTAAAACTGTCCTCTGACCAATAAAAACAACTATTTGTTGTAGCATTTAAAAGAAAGCCATCTGCCAGGGAAACTGTTCCCAATATTGCTATTTGATTTGTAGCCCATTTGGCTGATATTTGTTTAATTGGAAAAAGGAGGAATTTAGATCCTTAGGTGAAGTTATAAAATTTGGATCTTTCTCTCCCTAACAAGTGACTCCATCTGTAAAGGGTTACACTTGGTGAAAAGACTTAGGTGTCCTTTCATTATGGTCAGGAGAAACATTGGTAACCATTAGATGGAGGAAACAATGTATTAAAAATTAATCTGAATGAAATTAGATCAATCTCAATTCTTTGTTAAATATGTTGGTCTTTAAGAGTGAGTGAGGACTGATAGGAGCCAAAACTAACTTTCTAATCAACTGTGAAGTTATGGTACGTAACAAACACCAGCTGTTCTCCCTGAGAGCATATTGATAAGGTAGGAGATAGTGACATAAGGAGAGCAGTAGAGGCAAATTTTTGATGAGCATTTCAAATGTACACCAGAAGTCAGGTGAGCTATAGCCTAACTTTTATATCTTAAGTGACTAGTGATTTATGCGGGATGCCAAAAATGATAGCATTTCCCCTCTGAAAATCAGGTTGTCTAATGTATATCAAATTGGGTACCTACAATAGCTAGTCACTTTCCATAAGTTAGGATTCATACCTACATTTCCTAACCCAAATGTTTGAAATGCTCTGAAAATATCCAGCCATATTTCTATCTCCCTTTTTGCCCCTTCTCATGGCATCTTCTGTATAGGAAATTAGACTGTGACAATCCTTCTATATTACAATGAGTGTCTAGTGCTACAAGCAGGGGCAAAACTAGATTGTAAATGTAAAGGGGAAGCCATAATACTTTCAAATCAAGATACACCGACCCTTTCACAAAGCCCAGATCCTCAACTGGCATGGCTGAGCCACATCTACCTCCTCATACCAGCTAAGGAGGATTTGGTTCGCAGTATTAAACTATTGAAACTTCCTGTTCCTGTGCTATGTCTGACTGGCTGATAGAATGTTTGTCTACTGAACACTGGTGTAGCAAAGTGAATATTTTTTTTGCACTATTAACTCAGTTGATTCATGAAACAGGCTTAGTGAACCAGGCTTCAACACTAAAGCAAAAAAGTACAACTCCATGGTAAATGTCCTACACCTGTCTTTAATCCACTGTATGTTTTAGCTAAAGACCAGCTTTGTAGTACATAAACTTTTGCAAGTTGGCTGGATTCTGACTACTGGAAGCCATTATTTTATTTTATTTTATTTTACTTTATATTTTTCTGGTTTCAGTAGCCATTAGTTGGTAAGCAGGGTATGGACCTTTTGTTGTGTGTTTTTATTGCTTCGAGGTAACCATCAGGCCTACCTACACATCTGCCTTTTCTTTAGTTTGGTGCTACTTCTGGATTAGCACAGATCTTGGATGGAACAGTTAAAACTTAGCCATCCAAACCAATATTCAGCTGTGTTTTATTTTGCACTGTGCTGCTGAGCTGGGATGAGGTACTTACTTTAGTAGCATTAGAGTCCAATATGGAAAAGCAGCCAAGTGAACTGTTTCTTATTTAAATATTCTTCCATTTGCCATCCACATCACTTCATCTTGAAGTGCAGCCTATTCCTTTTTATCTCAGGGATGTGTGGTAACCTTCTTATGCTGAGGATGATGGCTTTGATCCACTGGAAGAATAGCATGTAAAGTTGTACACTGATGCCATTGAAACTTGATATTGCTACTACCTAGAATTAATTGACAAAATCCTATTGGCAGTCCAGTCTGTTATCTGCCTCAAATAAAACTACTTAGTTTTCTGTTGGTATCCTGTATTGTTGCAGTGGATGCATGGTTGACCCTTTCATTTACCCCAATTCTTTCCCCATTTACTTTTATCTCTAATCCCATACAGAGAACTGTAAAGGAACCCATAGCTCTCAAGATGGGGATAGAGACCTTGTATTCTCATAGCCAAGGACCTGCTGTTAAGTGCAAGGCTGTCCCTTTTATGTTTAACCAGCTCAGCTTTCTGCTGTTTGTTATAGCAACAAGCCCCCACTTAAACTCCATGCTATGTTAAAAATTGCAAAAGCCAGGATTAAAAAATGGGTATAGCTTTTGCCAAGATTTTTTTTTTAAAGCCTGGTAACAACACCCTGTAGGTGGGGAAAGAGAGGGGGCATGCAGCATATTCAGCCCCTTAGAAGTGGGACAGCCCTGCAATAGCATACGGCTTCCTGGGCTTTCCCAGTGAGCTAACTTGCTTTACCACTTGTAATCTACGACCCCAGCCCATGGACCGATCCAGGAGGGAGGTGAGGAGGGTGTGGCAATCCCCCTTTCTCTGTGCTCACTGGCATGTCAGCCCTGCTCCTGCCAGAGCTCCACAGCTGCTATGAGCTCGGTGCACCAATCAGCTGATAAATATGATGCATTTAACTAGTGAGCTCAAAGTTCACTAGTGGATTGGTGCTCCCCCTGCTTTCACATGACTTCACTATATTAAAAATTCATCCCCTCTGGCTTCTCCCCTGCCCCAGCATACTGCATGCCCCCTCTAAAAGTCCATGTGGGCTATGCAACAATCAGGAAATGAAACCTGCCATTATCTTTGGCTTCTGGAACTTCTCCCCCATCTTTCCTGGTCGCTGGGCAGGTGAGACACAAGGCAAGTGGACTTAGCTCCCTAACATGCCATGCTGCATTTTCAGTCTACAGGGCTGAACACAAGTGAAGATGCTGCTTTCTGCTTAGGGGCCATCATGACTGCCACACCAACATGAGACCAATAGGAGATAGTTAGTAGCCCTATGGTCAGCCCTTTCCTGTGAAAGCAAACATTTTTTCTTCTCTCTCTCTCTCTCTCTCTCACACCAGGGGATGAAAGTGAGATCAAAGGGAGCCATGATCATTACAGGCAGTCCTCAGACTTCAACACAATTGGTTCCTGAAAATTGTGTCTTTATTAAGAACTGATTTTTCCCATAGGAAGCAAAGTTATAAATGGGGGATTGGTTACTAATCCAAGGCCAATACTGTATTTTCACCAAAAATAACCCAGAATTTTGTACTCTATCAGTTATAAATGGGTAATATAGCTACATTAATGTATTTATATTGTAAATAGCAATCGTATTAATTTGGAAGGACTTCTTTGAGGTGACTTTGCTGGACTTTTTGAAGGGCTCTTGTTTGGACTTTCTGAAGGGTTCCTGGCTGGAGTCTTCTTAGGAGTTTTGGCTGCAGGTTTTTCTGGAGTCTTGTCCACTTTCCTAAAGAAAGCATCTAAGGAAGTTTGGACAGATGTTCACCAGGGAGATGGGTGACACGGAAAACTTGTTTGCTAGCATGGAGGGGTGACTTTACAATGTTTGATCAGACAAAGCTGACATCAGAAAGTTGAAACTGTCAATTTATAAAAGTTGTAAGTGTGAAAGGTTGCAACTCGAAACCTAAGTCGAGGACTGCCTGTGTTTATATTTTGCCATGAAATTTGTCTCTCTGCACAACATGCTCACATGGGTGGTCCTGCTTTGAGCAGGGGGTTGGACTAGATGGCCTCCTGAGGTCCCTTCAATCTCTAACTTTCTATGATTCTATGGCTGACAGATCTGTTTCAGGAGAGGAGAGCTATCTCAATATATCCATTTCATTGTGCAGCAAATCAACAGGATGAAAAATGTGGAGGGAATGAGTAAGTGGAGGTACTTCCCATGATTCATGACCTGACAAGGGTCATGATTTGGAACAAGCTTGTGGTAAAAGGTCAGAGCTAGCTAGGTTCTTTGAACATGGCCCTTTTAATTTGGGTAGGGCTTGGTAGAAGTGTTGCATTTACATTATGTAAAACATGTCAGTAAAAATGTTTGACTCTCAGCAAAAGTTTGAAGATTGTCAATAAAAAGAAAGTTTTGGGGTTTACAATCCTGGTGGGATAGTAGTAGTACCTGGATTCCAGTTGTGATGTGCTTATATGAAATTGCTAATGCTTAGGGTACTGTCCAGGCATCTGTAAAGACTGGTTCATATTCTTCTCATGCAAGACTTGGGAAGGGACTTGAAACCAGATCTTGGCTACTGGGGAATCTCAGCATAGTTCTTTCTTCTGTTTGAAGCTATTGCATACTACAGATTTTTTTTTTTTTTAATTAGTGGAGCTGGGACTCCTATTTCAATACTGCAGATGAGTGGCAGATTTGGGATCATTCATTTTCAGTTTGTCCTACTGAATTTTAGGTGAACCTATGTTCCTGCCACAAACGAAGAATTTGTGGCACTCCCATATACCCATTTAAGGATCTAACCAATGGGGTTTTGTAAAATAATCTGAGAAGGGTGTCCTGAGAATACAGTAGTAGGCCCACTCCAAGGAGGCAAATGCACTCAGCAGTGCCTACTGTTCTCTGGCATCATTTAATATGTGGTTTAAAAAAACCCACTAGAGATTTAAAGTAGTTGAGTCTACTTGTCTGCAGCCACATTTATTATTTTTTAAATTAAGCTTGTGTAACTTCATGGTTTGGGAGAGGTGCTTTTCTGTCAGCAGCTGGGATACAAATAATTCTCTCTGGGGTGAGGTTACAAGACATGTCCCAAGTGTTATCATTTTAAGCTTCAAAAAAGAGGAGGTGACTGTGACCTTTCAAATGACCTCTGCAGATCTCAAAGCTATAGAAGGCTATTAGTAGCAGCCAGGTCCTGCCAGTGTCAAAATGTAAACATTTCTGAGTGGATTACGTGAATTTGCAATATAATTTTTAATCTTTTAGGTCTCATTTACATGCTTCTTTCCACAACCATGAAGGCTGAAAACAGTGGTGAAAAGGAGGGGATGTAGGGTAGAGGAGGAAGGTTGGTACAAAAAGGGAGGTCCCATCCAAATGCATGACTCCAGAAACTAAGATTAAATAAACACCAAACACTGTGAGACTCCTAATGAAATCACAACACCAACACCTGCCCTCCAAATGCACTAGAGTGGCAGAGTGGTTTTAGGGATGGGGAGGCAGACTGGTCTTGGGGATGAGGTACCATACAGATGGGGGTGTTTCATTACCCAGTCAATCACTTCTTTATACAAACATTATGCTGCAAACA